TCTCCCTCTCGTTTTCTCTCTCCTCGTTTTCTCTCTCCTCCTCGTTTTCTCTCTCCTCCTCGTTTTCTCTCTCCCTCTCGTTCTCTCTCTCCCCCTCTCGTTCTCTCTCCCCCCCTCTCTCTCCTTCTCGTTTTCTCTCTCCCTCTCGTTCTCTCTCTCCCCCTCTCGTTCTCTCTCCCCCCCCTCTCTCTCTCCCCCTCTCGTTCTCTCTCTCCCCCCTCCCTCTCTCTCTCCCCTCCCTCTCTCTCCTCCCCCTCCCTCTCTCTCCTCCCCCTCCCTCTCTCTCCTCCCCCTCCCTCTCTCTCCTCCCCCTCCCTCTCTCTCCTCCCTCTCTCTCCTCCCCCTCCCTCTCTCTCCTCCCCCTCCCTCTCTCTCCTCCCCCTCCCTCTCTCTCCTCCCCCTCCCTCTCTCTCCTCCCCCTCCCTCTCTCTCCTCCCCCTCCCTCTCTCTCCTCCCCCTCCCTCTCTCTCCTCCCCCTCCCTCTCTCTCCTCCTCCTCCCTCTCTCTCCTCCCTCCCTCTCTCTCCTCCCTCCCTCTCCCCTTTCCTTTCTATCCCTCCCTTCTCATATTTGTATCTTATCAGCTTATTATTTGTACCCATTAGAATGAAACATTATTTAGTGGTAAGTTACAATAGCGTGATGAAGCCCAACTGTTGACTTGTTTCCACAAACGTGTGTGTCTTGAGCGACCAAGGTCCAAATGGAAGTCAGCTGAGAAATGAATGGTGGGTAATGGAGTGATTTTTAAAAGAATGATACAGTTAGGGTGAAGATGTTAACCTAGTTGATACCTGGTTGATGGGATTCTGGGAGTTCTTCTACTCCCCAAGCCCGGCCCGAGGCCAGGCTTGACTTGTGAGAGTTTGGTCCACTAGGCTGTTGCTTGCAGCGGCCCTGGTTGATATCTGGTTGATGTTCAATGAACATCATGATGTTCAATGAACATGTTGGCCCGCAGGCCCACATGTTGATTGAACATCTTGTGTTATAACTGCCGTCTTGAGCTTGTCCATAAAGGTGGGGAATGGTGGCCTCGTCCACATCTCCGCTGTGCTGCTGATTATTTTGCGTTGGAATTTTTGCTTCTCTTGCAGTGTGATAAAGACCGTGACCAACTGACCTAGGGTGAAGACCCTGACCGAGAACCGGACCAACCAGGCTGTGGTGGTTATGTGGGCCTGCGGGCCGCTCCAGGCAACAGCCTGGTGGACCAAACTCTCACAAGTCAAGCCTGGCCTCGGGCCGGGCTTGGGGAGTAGAACTCCCAGAACCCCATCAAGCAGGTACCCTATCATAGTGTCCAGCGACCGTCAGAGGCATTTGTATCCAGCTGTTAATCTCGTTTCTCTCATGTTACACCAGTAATTTGGCTGATCAGGCAGTCAACCAGGAGGATTGGTCAGAATCTGGCCAATTTTTGTTATTATTGTCGCCTGAGGCGGCTAGTTTATCCTCATCCTGTGAGCGGTAGCGCAAAAAGGATTCCAGAAGGCACAAAAGGTCTTTATCACACCTTGCGATGATTTCGGGGCTGAAAGTCCCCTCAACCAGGCCTCCTCGTTGCTTGACTACCTCTCGAACACCTGATCAACCAGGCTGTGATTCATACGTCCAGCCGCCTCCAAGAGCCTGGTTGACCAGACGACCAACCGAGAGACATGGTCGGAGACCGGGCCGCGGGGCTGTTGATCCGCGCAAGCTACACAAAATAGACACAAAGTAAGGTAGTCCGTACAGAGTGAGTGGCAACCTTAACCTTGACTGATAGATGAAGATTACGCCACCCAAATGGTGGCATAGGCATGAATAGCCCGTAATTGCCAAGACTGAAGATCTAGTCCTTAAGAAAGTGAGAACAGGTGAATGAGTTGCAGGAAGATGAACACCGAATGAAAATGAGTGTGTGGGGGAGGCGGCGGGGGCAGGGGCCAGGGGGCAGGGGGCAGGACATGCTCGTTGCTTGACTACCTCTCGAACACCTGATCAACCAGGCTGTGATTCATACGTCCAGCCGCCTCCAAGAGCCTGGTTGACCAGACGACCAACCGAGAGACATGGTCGGAGACCGGGCCGCGGGGCTGTTGATCCGCGCAAGCTACACAAAATAGACACAAAGTAAGGTAGTCCGTACAGAGTGAGTGGCAACCTTAACCTTGACTGATAGATGAAGATTACGCCACCCAAATGGTGGCATAGGCATGAATAGCCCGTAATTGCCAAGACTGAAGATCTAGTCCTTAAGAAAGTGAGAACAGGTGAATGAGTTGCAGGAAGATGAACACCGAATGAAAATGAGTGTGTGGGGGAGGCGGCGGGGGCAGGGGCCAGGGGGCAGGGGGCAGGGGCAGTGGCAGGGTCTAAAGTGAACACTAGGGAGCTTAGCCGTGTGAAGCCCCTCAGGAGACCGTGGCCTTCCCTCCATGCTACGGGAACTTCCTTCTTCCCAGGGTTTCGTAAGGGCTTCACTACCCCAGCACCTCGCTCTCCATACTCTCCTCTCACTTCCCCTCTTCTCCTCTCCTATTCCCCCCTCATTTCACCTCCCCCTTTCTTTCCGTGCCATCGCCCTCACCCCCACACCACACCCCCACCACAAGCAACCATCCGCCTTATCTACCACTCTGGTTACCCACTTGTGTGGCTCTTGTGTGGCTCTTGTGCGGCTCTTGTGCATCCCGCGCACACACCACACAACACCTCGTCGCTCTTGGCCCAGACATATAAAAACGGCTCCGATAAAGTGGGTAACCACGGAGAGGGAGGATCCACGGTGTTGGGTTCAAGAGATGAGGGATAGAACTAGCCTCCAGCTCTAATCCATCCCCCTTTAATCGTCCAGCCACGAGCGATGTCGCTGAAAAAAAGTAATTAAAAGTGTTTGGAACAAGTGGTGAAGGGCGGGGGGGAGGAGGGGGGGGGGTGGCCTCACAAGCGTTATCCAATAGCCATTCATTAAAGCAGAGCGGGTTAATATATTAAACCCTTCACTTGACTCGCCACTTCGTAAAGAAGCCAACCTCCTAACTTCACCAGAAAAGTACGAACCCTAGCAACCCACCTAACGCTGATATTTGCGAGCTGTTACTATTCACTGAAGTTTGCATTTGTAATGTTTACGATACGGTAAAAAAAAAGCATACCCTATTGGTCGAGAGGACTGGTTGAATATATAAGGCACGCGCATAGTGGTTTGCGATTACGGGCTCACCATAGCCCGTGCTACATGGACACTTCGTGCTGAGTAGCTAAATCTGAAATAATAACAAGTGGTTAGCTTTTTTGTAGGAATCTGTGGGAAGGAAGCAGCACATGTGCCGAGTGCTGAGCAAAATATTCAGTACTTCATCCCCAAAACCCTTCACATATCAGGACCAGCGTCAAACAGTGACCAAACCTCGCATCATCAGGGAATGATGGAACGACAACGTTTCGGTCCGTCCTGGACCATTATCAAGTAGATTTGATAATGAGTTAATGATAATTAATTAATGATAATGAATTATGCCCCGTATGTGTAGGACGGAGCGAACTGTCGTCGTTCCTTCGTTTTCATGTGTGGTGTTCATATCTTCAGCCACGTTATTGTGACTCATCGTCTGCATCATCAATCGTCATCGTTAAGGTAGTCGAGGAAACGAGGATAGAAGAGCGTCAGTGAATCTGTAAGCACACTGAACATCACAAGTCCACGGCTGTTCATCTCACAGCAAGCATTAGAAATATAGAAGGAAATAAGGTGGACTTCTTTGAAGAAATGCCGGACCATCAGGGATTAGTGGATATGTGGGCCTGCGGGCATTTGCAAGCAAACAGCCTGTTGGACCCATTCATCGCAAGTCGAACCGGTCGGGCGAGCGGACAGCAGCTGGACTTGTAATCCTGTAGTCCCGGGTTCGATCCCGGGCGCCGGCGAGAAACAATGGGCAGCGTTTCTTTCACCCTATGCCCCTGTTACCTAGCAGTAAAATAGGTACCTGGGTGTTAGCCAGCTGTCACGGGCTGCTTCCTGGGGGGGGGGGGGTAGGGGTGGAGGCCTGGTCGAGGACACTTTTGGGACACTTTTTTTTAGTGTCCCCGGGCCGCGGGGACACTAAAAAAAAGCCCCGAATTCATCTCAAGATAACTCAAGAACCTGGCCCCAGGCCGGGCTCGGGGAGAAGAACAACTAGGACAACCCTCTCAAGGTATGTTCCAGGTACAGTGCAGTCTCAGCCGACAGCCTCATTCATTATGAATGAAAAGGTGGTGGCCGAAGGAAGGAATCCTTAATTAGAGGAATTCGTCTTAGATTCAAATACCTTGAGGTTATCGTGAGATAATTTCGGGGCTTCGTGTTCCCGCGGCCCGGTCGTTGACTAGGCCTCCTGATTGCTGAACTGGTCAACCAGGCTGTTGGATGTGGCTGCTCGCAGCCTGACGTATGAGTCACAGCCTGGTTGATCAGGTATCTTTTGGAGGTGTTTATCGAGTTCTCTCTTGAACACTGTGAGGGGTCGGCCAGTTATGCCCCTTATATGTAGTGGAAGCGTGTTGAACAGTCTCGGGCCTCTGATGTTGATAGTTCTCTCTTGAACACGTGAGGGGTCTGCCAGTTATGTCCCTTATGTGTAGTGGAAGCGTGTTGAACAGTCTCGGGCCTCTGATGTTGATAGTTCTCTCTTGAACACTGTGAGGGGTCGGCCAGTTATGTCCCTTATGTGTAGTGGAAGCGTGTTGAACAGTCTCGGGCCTCAGATGTTGATAGTTCTCTCTTGAACACTGTGAGGGGTCGGCCAGTTATGCCCCTTATATGTAGTGGAAGCGTGTTGAACAGTGTTGGAACAGATGGAAACAACGCCAACAGCAGAGGAGCGAAATTGCAGAATGTGCAGCATGAGTGAAGGACGAGGTCTGGACCACTACCTGAGGGGCTGTGACCACGTAAGAAACATGGTGCGGTATAATGAACCTCACATGTGTGAGTTAGGAAAGTACTTTTTGTCAAATAGAGATTCTGACCTTAAAAGGTTTCTTTACTCTGCACCTGCGAGATAATGTAAATATGAGGGCTGTAAGATGCATAGTCCCTTGTTTTACAGCCTGTTCCCGTGAGACAGTTAACCAGTCGCAGCCACGTCGGGTACAAGTGACCCAGCGGCTATGTTCACTCAGGTTTATTGGGCATCGTCACTCAGGTTGAGTGACGATGCTCAATAAACTAGCTCTCTGAGGCAAAATTCATTTAATTAAAATTAAGCCCCGGCATGCTTAGCCTCGGAGTTCTCGTCTCTACCTTCCTCTCCTAAGTTTGTGCTGCGTCCTCTAATAGTATTCAAGTTTAGCGCTCTCTATTGATACTGTATTTGCTTTTGTACTGCTACTACTACTACTGTTTCTATAATAGTACTGCGATTAGAGAACAATGAGCATCTGTGGTCCACCACTATTCTGCTATCTACCAAGCAACAAAATGTACCAAATATTACTGGAATATCAACCAAATATCAACCAGGTATCAACCAGGAAGTTGTGTGGAATAAAGGGTTATAAGGATTGTGAGCCTGCGGGATGCGACTAGTAATAGACTCACTGGTCAAGATCTGACCAGGGAAGCTAGTCATTTAGCTGGGCTGTAAGAGGGGAAAGCGATTGCGGAAAGCGCTGAATGGGAAACAGGTAATAGATAAGCTATAAGTAACAGTGATAATATTGCTCGGTGTAATAGATTATAATACCAGCTATTGCAATCAATTACAGCGAGAAATGCACGCGTCTCAGTGCCACTTGACTATGCTATTAAAAGCATCGTCGTATATGATGAGCCGCAAAGGAGGGGGAACTCTTCCAATTACTGGCGGTATCAAATGATGTTTGGCCGGGATTATGGGGTACATGATGATCACATTTAGATTGATTTAGGCAGGCGAACCCATCCCCCTCTCCTCTCCTCTCCGCTCCCTCGCTCTAGCGCGCTAGTGTGAGAGGGGCACCTCTCTCGCGCGCAATTTCAATTGAGGGGTCAATTTTGTGACCATTAACTCTCGAAATCCTATCCAGGTATGCTCCCCCCCCTCCCCCCGTCCCCTCCCTCGCCCCTCCCCCTCCCCTCCCCCCTCCCTTCCCCCCTCCCCCTCCCTCCCCCCCCTCCCCTCCCCCCCCCCCTCCCCCCTCCCCTCCCCCCTCCCCTCCCCCTCCCCTCCCCCCTCCCATCCCCTCCCCCCTCCCATCCCCTCCCCCCTCCCATCCCCTCCCCCCCCTATCCCCTCCCCCCCCCTCTCTCGCTCTCTTCTCACTTTTCTCTCTTATCTTCTTTCTCCGCCCCCTTTTTTCTTTCTCCGCCCCCTTTTTTCTTTCTCCGCCCCCTTTTTTCTTTCTCCCTCCGTCCCTCCCTCCCCCTTTCAAGTGAATCTGTGTTGAGGGAATCTGTCAAGCAAACTCTTGACATAACGTATATTCACTCTTCGTATATTGTTATGTTCAATTTGTTGAATAAATTCGTGTTGTTGAAACGTTACAAAACAACTGCTTTTTTACAGTGTGTGTTCTCACCTCTCATCTAGTTGTGCTTGCGAGGGTTCAGCTCTGGCTTTTTGGTCCCGCCTCTCAACTGTCAATCAACTGGTGTACAGATTCCTGAGCCTACTGGGCTCTATCACTTCTACATTTGGATCTTTGTATTTGTCTCCACCACATCACTTCCTAGTGCATTCCATTTGCTAACTGTTCTGACACTTAAAACGTTCTTTCTAATGTGTCTGTGGCTCATTTGAGTACTAAGTTTCCACCTGTGTCCCCTTGTGCGTGTACCACCCGTGTTAAATAATCCATCCTTGTCTACCCCTGTCAATTCCCCTGAGAATGTGTATTCACCTAGTTGTATTCACATAGTTGTGCTTGCTGGGGTTGAGCTATGGTCTTTCAGCCCGCCTCTCAACTGTCAAATCAACTGTTACTATTAACTAAATTTTTTTCTTCCACCCCTTCCCAGGAAACAGCCCGTAACAGCTGTCTAACCTCCAGGTACCTATTTACTGCTAGGTAACAGGGGCATCTTGGTGAAAGAAACTGCCCATTGTTCCTCGCCGGCGCCGGGAATCGAACCCGGACCACAAGATTACGAGCCCCGCGCGCTGCCACTCAGCTACCAACGCCCCTAAGTGTGTACTCACCTAGTTGTACACGTGGGTGTGTGTGGGTGGGTGGATGTGTGTATATTCACCTAGTTGTAATCACCTAGTGTGTTTGCGGGGGTTGAACTTTACTCTTTCGGCCCGCCTCTCAACTGTCAATCAACTGTTTTTGTGTGTGTGTGTGTATTGGGTGGAAACAAAAAGCACACACACACACACACACACACAAATACTCCGGGAATGTGTGGTAGGGATACGGGGAAAACGAGCATCTAAACTATGTGAGGTTGGAACTTTAGTGAATGGCTTTTAAAAGGGCTTCAGCTCTGGCTCACCAGATTGGACCATTAACCTTTTTTTATTCTCAAGACTATGAGATCTTCCGTCTTAAAACTATAGTCAGTTTTAATGGGTTCAAGGAGATATTTTTTATTTTAAATTGTGTTCACAGGAATCTTTACGCCAGCATTCACTGGAAGGGTTACAGGGTAATTGCACGGTAGTTCACCACAGGGTAATTGCACGGTAGTTCACCACAGGATAATTGCACGGTAGTTCACCACAGGGTAATTGCACGGTAGTTCACCACAGGGTAATTGCACGGTAGTTCACCACAGGGTAATTGCACGGTAGTTCACCACAGGGTAATTGCACGGTAGTTCACCACAGGGTAATTGCACGGTAGTTCACCACAGGGTAATTGCACGGTAATTCAAGAAGTGCCGGACCAACCGGGCTGTGGTGGATATGAGAGCCTGCAGGCCGCTCCAAGCAACAGCCTGGTGCTTGGAGCTTGACTAAACTCTCATAAGTCAAGCTTGGCCTTCACTGGTTCGCAGAATAGAACCACTGATCAGCAGGGGGTGCCATAGGCACAATCAGCAACGCTGCAAGCAACAGCCTGGTGGACCAAACTCTCACAAGTCGAGCCTGGCCTCGGGCCGGGCTTGGGGAGTAGAAGAACTCCCAGAACCCCATCAACCAGGTATCAAGCAAGTAAACAGGGTAAATTACACGGCAATTCACAACAACGTACCTGTCTACCTACCTGTCAATGATTCCGAGGATCAACATTTCCGAGGTCCAGTTTCTGACTAATCCACTTGGTTAATGGTCTGGTCATCCAGGCTGTTGGACGCGGCTGCTCTCAGCCTGACGTATGAATTACAGCCTGGTTGATCAGGTATCCTTTGGAGGTGTTTATCGAGTTCTCTCTTGAACACTGTGAGGGGTCGGCCAGTTATGTCCCTTATGTGTAGTAGAAGCGTGTTGAACAGTCTCGGGCCTCTGATGTTGATAGTTCTCTCTTGAACACTGTGAGGGGTCGGCCAGTTATGTCCCTTATGTGTAGTGGAAGCGTGTTGAACAGTCTCGGGCCTCTGATGTTGATAGTTCTCTCTTGAACACTGTGAGGGGACGACCAGTTATGTCCCTTATGTGTAGTGGAAGCGTGTTGAACAGTCTCGGGCCTCTGATGTTGATAGTTCTCTCTTGAACACTGTGAGGGGACGACCAGTTATGTCCCTTATGTGTAGTGGAAGCGTGTTGAACAGTCTCGGGCCTCTGATGTTGACCAATAGCGCCTGCGCTATTGGTAATACAATTTAAAAAAAATTAAGCGAGCTCATTAGTTTAGATGATTTATTGAGGGAATTCCAGGAGTAAAAGATCTTTTGGGCTAGCCTGGATTATAATAACTGAACACGACTCGTGTAACTGGTCTGATTTTGAAAAGGATTTAAAAAGTTAATAAATCATCGCTTTGTGAATATCAAAGTCATTAATAATTCCAAACACCCTGAAGTATTTATTATGCTACCTGTATTCAGTACAGTACCTGTTCTCATTATATCCATTATTCTTGCCGTAAGGTAAGCTGGAGATAAATCCCCACCAGTTTACCTGGTGGTCAGGTGGGGATTTACTTCAGCGGTGCTTCATATCTCTAGTATGAAGGACAGCAGAGCATCAGTGAATTATATCTTCCTTCTATTTTCAGAGCGGAGATATTAATGGCATTTGGGGGGATTTTGAGATAATTTGTGACAGCCGATAAATTGGGCGGAATTGCAGGGAAGTCGTGAAATACGGAGGCTTCATTTTACACGAGAAAGTGGAGGAGGAGAGAAAACAGAAGAAAGCTGAGAAAACTGGGGGATAACGAAGCAAGAGAAGGCTATAGAGGAGGTACCTGCTTGATGGGGTTCTGGGAGTTCTGCTACTCCCCAAGCCCGGCCTCTCGTGAGAGTTTGGTCCACAAGGCTGTTGCTAGGAGAGGTCCACAGGCCCACCACAGCCCGGTTGGTCCAGTACTCCTTGGAGATATAGAAGGAACCAGTGTAGAGAGAAGACGAGGGTCTTCTCTAGTACAGGGACTTACGTTATCTCTCTCACGCCGGCGAGATAATAAGTAATAATCTACACGTAGAATAACATGTGTTCGTTATTCCACAAGTGAATTATTTCTACACGTGAAATAACGATCAACTATTATAATAATAATATCATTTTATTATAATATTATATAATAATTATTATATAATTGCAATAGTAATATTATAATAACAATGATGATATTATAATATATGAGTTGTGTGTGGTAGTCCTTGGAGGACTCCCAGTCCTGCCCCGGGAGGTTGTACAGGGCCCTCAGCGAGGCTACCAGGCTGCTGCTGGAGTAGTACCAGGAGCGGCCCTTCAGGCCCTCGTGCCTCTGGCGCCTTACAACCACCTGCTCCGGGTAGACGGGACTCGACGGCCTGGGAAGGCAGCTCATCTAAGGAGAAGGAAAACCCCCTATTTTCAAACCACCTCTGCCCCGCAGCCATACCCACTTTTGGGACGGGCTTCAGGAGACAACCTCGAGGTTGTGAGGTTGTCTTTGTGAAGTAAGGAGCAGGCCAGAGCTGGTGCCCCCAAGGCAGTTCGTTGATGACTTCAGCCTCGTCCTGGCAGCTCTTTCGACGGTGTTTGAACCATGCGTATTGGCGTTTGCCTTTCCATTAAATAATTTCAGCAAAGTGGAGAGGGGGGACCTGCTGCATGGGTAACAGCTTCTCCATATCGTACCCAGGCTTTGCGCCCTGGAGAGGACACGCCAGCCTAGGCAACCAGAGCACAACTTCATAGTCTCCTGTGTCTGTGGGATGCCTACTATACGTGGAAGATATTAGAGGGAGTGATTCCAAATCTGAACACAGAAATTACACCACATGAGACCAGTAGGCATAACAGAACGTGCAGAATACCCCCTTATTTAATTTAATTTTGCCCCGAGGGGCGACAGCCGGTTGGTCCGGGACTTTTTTTTTTTTTTTTTTTTAGAAAAGCGTCCAGTTTTCTCTTGAAGATGTCCACGGTTGTTCCGGCAATATTTCTTATAGTCGCTGGGAGGACGTTGAACAACCGCGGACCTCTGATGTTTATACAGTGCTCTCTGATTGTGCCTATGGCACCTCTGCTCTTCACTGGTTCAATCTTGCATTTTCTTCCATATGCCCGCGGCCTGGTCGGAGAACGGGTCGCGGGTCCGTTGATCCCTGGGAAGTACAAGGTAGACCTGCTTTGTGAAGTAAGGAACTGTCGGCCTAGTCGTGATTGGAACTTTTGACGTGATTGGCGAACTTGTCACCTACCCAAATTCTGCGCATGTCAGTAGTGAAGAACACATGTGAAGAACCTCTCACACACTCACAGCTCCCTGACAAGAGGGAGCCAGCTTAGCTTAGCTGCCAACACCCACACATGGTGTCAGCAAGGCGGACAGCCCGCCTGCTTTCATACCTCTCACTATACTTCCCTTCACCTTTGCCTCTCCTTCCTCTTCCCCCCCATCCCCCCGCAAAAAAAAATTCAATAGTTAAGAAGGTAAACGTTACTAGTCTGAATCTTGACCTCAACTGTTAACGATATAAGCTTGGGAATTTGTACACCAGTTGATTGACAGAGAGACGCCATCAGAGAACTGAAGGTCATGCTCCGCAAGCACAACTAGGTGAGTACATGAGTGTTGACGTGCAGGCAGGGGTGGGAGGAGTGGGAGGGGGGGCCTGGTCACTGTCGCCACCCCTCCCTTGTGGCCACTCCCGGCTCCTCTCCCATGACACCACCACCTTTCCCAGGGCTCCCTCTCCCTCTGAGAGAGAGGGAGATGGAGAGAGAGAGAGAGGGAGAGGGGGAGGGGGCTTAGTATTATATTGTTTAATTGTTGAAATTGTCTTCTCACCCTACTTTAGTCTTACCAATACATATCATCTTTAAAAACGTAAACAAAATGCTATTTGTCGAAACGTGTAGACTGTTTGTCACTACACCTATTCTGTCCAACAATAAGGGTAATGAACCGTATAAATTGTTAAGGGTAACGCTTCCAGTTCTGTCATTCTACTTGTATGTTCTACCGTTAAACATAATGACCGTTGCTGAGACTAAGCTACAATAGGGAGCTAGACGAGGTCTTTGTAGACTGTTGTAGATAAGTCGGTTTGTGCCCAGCTAGCAGCAATAGCCTGGCTGACCAAGCGACACCATTGGGTGGTGGGGCCACATACCTCGTGGGTGGTGAGGTTCCTAGTGGTGGGCCAGATCCTGGGTGTGGTCGAGGGGGTGGTGACGTTGGGGTGGGGGGGGGGAAGGGGGGGGGAAGGGGGGGAAGGGAAGGCACGTTAGGAATGTGGCCACTCCTTAACCTGGTTGATGGGGTTCTGGGAGTTCTTCTACTCCCCAAGCCCAACCCGAGGCCAGGCTCGAGCCCCTTACACATGGCTGTCACCCGTCACCCTCACACATGGCCGACTCACAGGAAATACCTTTTATAATATGTGCCATTAGAACCCCCTCCACCACCGCCAAGTTATGGCAGTAAGACGTGTGGTGGTGAAGGCCATACACAGGTTCAAATGTAAGACTAAAAGGCTTCTGGACACGTTCTCTAGTCCATTAACATTTAAGAGGCGGGGCCTTAGTCTTGAAGTTTCCTGAGGAATTTATTTCTATCAATAATATAAAAGGTTGGCGAGGTTGCTACCCCAAATACCCGCCCGGGCCGGGTTTAATATATTTTTTTTAATTTGGGCCAACATAGTATTTTTTTTATCTGTTGATTAAATAGATAAAACCCTGGATAATTTTTTACAGCTCTAATTAGGGCCAAATTGTTTATCAATTTGAATAATTTTCAGTTTGTTTAAATTATTTCTTCATTAAAAAAACCAAATGATTTGCTTCAAGTTTGATCCCTAGACAACGCCTCGACTCAATCTCAATAGTTGAGATAGACCATTGATATGAATTTTTAGAACCAGTCAGAATCAATAGAATTTATTTGTAACAACGTACACACAACCCATCACAGTGGTAGCTGGTCTGAAGAGATGTACTGCACTTTAAATTGAAATTATGTTTTTACCATAAAGTAAGTAAAGTGATATATGAAAAATAGTGTAGATAGATTCAGGATGATGTTTACTACGAGTGAGTGAGTGGTATTGTCAGGTGGTGTGTGGAGAATAAAGGTAAGCTGTTTGCCAGTCATGTTTGTTAGTGAGAAGACTAACAATAATAAACAGCAGCTCTCCCATGACCCTGTAATACCTCCCTTAGCTACAGCAGCTAAGTATTAGCGAAAAGACTTACCATTAATGTATAATTGTCAATACATAGCCATTAAAATGGAACAATCTCTGTAACTAGCTGACATTGTCGATTGACAAGTCAATCAACTTGAGGACGGACCGAAACGTCGTCGTCCCTTCACCTTCTTGTGTGTGGTCTGGTCATCATACTTTAGCCAAGTTATTGTGACTCATCGCCTGCATAGCTGACATTTATAAGTATAAGGTGTGCAGGATAGGTGTAATTATTAATGTAATAATCTCCCTTGAGGTCTGACAAAGACCTAATTTTGTGCCCTCTGTAATCTTTTTTGCGCTACCGCTCACAGGATGAGTATCGGGTGCACAATACACTAAACTAGCCGCCTCCGGCGACAACAATCAATCAAAATCAATTCCAGAACCGTCTCCAGGTATACTCCAGAACGAGGAAGTTAATTTAGAGCTTGACAACCTATCAACATTAGCGTCAACTTTCTTGACGTATGCAACTCCCAGATGTTGTGGGGCCTTAAGAGACCGGGAGATACACATTATGGTAATGTGTGTGTGTGTGTGTGTGTGTGTGTGTGTGTGTGTGTGTGTGTGTGTGTGTGTGTGTGTGTGTGTGTGTGTGTGTGTTCCATGATCTCGGGAGAGGAGGCCGGGGGACCTCGGAGGCCGGGGTACCTCGGAGGCCGGGGAACCTCGGAGGCCGGGGAACCTCGGAGGCCGGGGAACCTCGGAGGCCGGGGAACCTCGGAGGCCGGGACCTCGGAGGCCGGGGGACCTCGGAGGTCGGGACCTCGGAGGCCGGGACCTCGGAGGCCTAGGCGGGAAGCCGGTGCAGGAGGCCGAGGAGGGAGGCCGGTGCAGGAGGCCGGGACCTGGGAGGCCGGGGTGGGGGGCGGGGGGCTGGAGGCCGGAGCGGGGGTCATCTCACCCCCGCGGTATTGGTCGTGTTGAGGCATTGATTGTTGTTATAGTGTGGCGCTGATGTCATGGTTGAGGTATGACCTGGGGAGGGTTACCGCCGCCACACTCACCCCCCCCCCCCTTGGTTTACATCGCCTCTCAGTTTCCCCCGTGATGCCACGTGGATACTTTTCAAGGAGTGTACAAGGAAGAGAAGGTCTTCTTTGGGAGTTAGGCAGCTGCTACAGGCTTCTTCCTGGGGTGGAGGCCTGGTCGAGGACCGGGCCGCGGGGACACTAAGCCCCGAAATCATCTCAAGATAACCTAAATAATCTCAAGAAATCCTTCTGAAAAACTTTTCTTGTATGCTGCTTGGAACTTTTTGTTCCGAGTAGCTGAAACTAAACAACGAAGAGAAGGTAAAGGAAGTGAAGGAGACGCAAGAGAGTGAAGGAGTGTTGGTGAAGGAAGAGATGGAAGGAGTGTAGGCCGTTGTTGATGTGTGGAACCAATTGCCGCGTAACATGGTGGAGGTGGGGTCCCTCGATTGTTTCAAGCGCGGGTTGGACATGTATATGAGTGGGATTGTGTGGTTATAAATAGGAGCTGCCTCGTATGGGCCAACAGGCCTTCTGCAGTTGCCTTTGTTCTTATGTTCTTATATTTTGGAAACCCTAGATATCCTCCGCAGGCTCTTACCAGTCTTCCTCGGTGGCGAGGGATGATAGAGCACTATGAATCATGTCGGACACGAGAATGACAGTACTGGAACACGCACAGCTTTTCACGACGAAGGCATTTGGTTTTACTTTGTCCTAATCAAAAGGTTTACCCCTGACTTTACCTTCTGTTGATTCCGGGGATCAAGGTTCCTGCGGCCCGGTCTCTGTCCAGACCTCCTGGTTGGTGGGTTGATCACCCAGGCTCTTCGGTTTCCTATGAAGAAAAGGCTTCGTTCACCTACTTTTCCAGTAAATACTTCTGTGTGCATATTATATGTACAAATTCACCTGTCACATTTTTCGAGAAAATTGTATCAGGAACGTCCTGCTCTAAATCAACGTTCTAATGTACCAATTAATTTTCTTTCAAACCTTTAAGATTACTGATAAAAAAAATATTATTTTTGTTATTAGGTCTCGTGTGTTTCACACACCTTAGGAAATGTGAGTTTACACCTTACTTTGCTCCTCAGCTCTCTCTTGCCTATTTATTGCCTGTCTCTACTTCCTCATCACAATCGAGAATGGTCCAGGACGGAGCGAAACGTCGTCGTCCCTTCACCTTCTAGGGTGTGGTCTGGTCAACTATGTGAGTTTATTTTCCAGCTTTGGAAGAGGCTCAGAGAGACGTTCATCCATCATGGGTGATTGACTGGTTCGTTTATGTTGGCTGATCACCGCTGTTGGTCTCCCAAGACGAACTGCAGCCCTTGTGTTGGGAGGGTTACCTTACCTTGCCAGGATTTCAGGGCTCAACGTCTGCGCGGCCCGGTCCTCGACAAGGCCTACTCGTTGCTTGACTGATCAATCTGGCTGTTGGACGCGGCTGCTCGCAGCCTGACGTATGAATTACAGCCTGGTTGATCAGGTATATACAATCCCTTCATCCGGGGAGGGAGAGGGAGAGGATTAGGAACGAATGGAAAGAACGAGAAAGGTTAAAATAAGAACGAGGAGGGCAAACAAGGGCAATAGTTGCAAGGGTTGGGGAGGAGGAGGAAGAGACAAGGATTGAAACAGGAAACTGAAGGAGTGAAAGAGGAGAAGGAAAAAGGATTGAAAGGCGAATGGAAAGAGAGTAAAGATATTTAAAATGTGTTTATTTTTTTGCTTTTAGGACGTGAATTGTAACTTGGTAAGTTACTGCCGAGGAATTCAATTCTTATTGCATAAATTCTCGGCCGGCATGTGGCTGGTGGGTGCTGGGAGAAACAATAAATATGTTGAGTTGTTGTGTATTTCTGCCTGTCTCTGTTACACCCCCGCTCCGGTGCCAGGTAAGTCCACTATGGGCTCACCATAACCCGTAGTGGAAGGAACGTTCCAAGTGCAACGTGGAATGTTTTGTTCCGAGTAGCTGAATCTTAAACAACAACTTCCGCCTGTCTGTCTGATTATATTCGCGTAGTCGTCTTCAGATTCAGACGGTCAGAGATTTTCCATGTTAAAATGGTCCCGAGGATGTTTCTTGCCAGCCGGGCTGGCAATAAAATTAGGCGGGTGACTTATTTACAAAGTTTTACAAACTAAAGTACCATTGTTTAACCTGACTTAATGAAACCAAGCCCAGGTTTGTAGCTAGTCCCATTCTAATGTATAATTCAAGCCTACCTACGTCGAGGCTGGCTACATGTAAATTGATTCTTCATAAAAGACTTATAATAATGCAAATATTATGGTCATTTGGTTTAAATGCAGTTCGAATCTGCTTCAATTCGAACACTTTCCGTGTGGTAAAAGGGAGTGATTGCTCCGGGGGACGTTGAGTTTGGCGTGCGAATCGCCTCTTTTGGTCTAAGGATAGAAAGACCAAGTGTGTTCCAACTGTCGGGCCAAGTCAAAGCTTTACCGCTCCGGTTTGACTCCTGTTTAGAAGTCAGTATTTGTGGTTTGTTGATTACCTTGTGGTTACCTTGCGTCGGTTTCCAGGATCAAGGTCCCCGCGGCCCGGTCTCTTGACTATGCTTCCTGGTTGTTGGTCCGGTTAACTAGGATGATGGACGTAGCTGCTCGCAGCCTGACGTACGAATGACAGCCTGGTTGATCAGGTATCCTATGGAGGTGTTTATAGTTCTCTCTCTTGAACATGGTGAGAGGTCGGTCAGTTATGCCTCTTACGTGTAGTGGAAGCGTGGGGAAACGTCTTGTTGATTTCCACACATTAGCAAGTATGGAAATGTCTGTGACCTCGCGGACATACGCCCATGTGACGTCGCAGATAAAATGTGTAACTTCAAGTCCAACAAAAGCAACCTCTTAGAGCTTTTGCATGCGAGAGCTTCGTTCACCTCGTAACTTAATACATACACAGTAACTGTTCTTCGTTTTCATATTCATGTGAAAGAACCTTTCACCGGGGAATTTTCCAGAGCAAAAGTTAGTTTTAAAAATTTAGTGAATAAAACTCTCGACTAGGGAATTACTGTCTTGTTTCAGACATAAAAAAGACAGCATTTTTCTTGCATATCACTGATGTTCAGTACTGCCGGGGTAGAACATTTTCACCAAAAATGTTTGGGAAGAAAATGATAAAGAATTCGTTGCTCCTCCACAGGGGAATATCTTGAGAGTCTCTCCAGTTTGGCCATCCAGATTTGAGGCTCTCTGGAGGCCGAGGCATCGCTGGGGCTCCTGCTGGTCGAGGCATCGCTGGGGCTCCTGCTGGTCGAGGCATCGCTGGGGCTCCTGCTGGCCGAGGCATCGCTGGGGCTCCTGCTGGCCGAGGCATCGCTGGGGCTCCTGCTGGCCGAGGCATCGCTGGGGCTCCTGCTGGCCGAGGCATCGCTGGGGCTCCTGCTGGTCGAGGCATCGCTGGGGCTCCTGCTGGTCGAGGCATCGCTGGGGCTCCTGCTGGCCGAGGCTTCGCTGGGGCTCCTGCTGGTCGAGGCATCGCTGGGGCTCCTGCTGGTCGAGGCATCGCTGGGGCTCCTGCTGGTCGAGGCATCGCTGGGGCTCCTGCTGGCCGAGGCTTCGCTGGGGCTCCTGCTGGCCGAGGCATCGCTGGGGCTCCTGCTGGTCGAGGCATCGCTGGGGCTCCTGCTGGTCGAGGCATCGCTGGGGCTCCTGCTGGTCGAGGCATCGCTGGGGCTCCTGCTGGCCGAGGCATCGCTGGGACTCCTGCTGGCCGAGGCTTCGCTGGGGCTCCTGCTGGTCGAGGCATCGCTGGGGCTCCTGCTGGTCGAGGCATCGCTGGGGCTCCTGCTGGTCGAGGCATCGCTGGGGCTCCTGCTGGTCGAGGCATCGCTGGGGCTCCTGCTGGTCGAGGCATCGCTGGGGCTCCTGCTGGTCGAGGCATCGCTGGGGCTCCTGCTGGTCGAGGCATCGCTGGGGCTCCTGCTGGTCGAGGCATCGCTGGGGCTCCTGCTGGCCGAGGCATCGCTGGGGCTCCTGCTGGCCGAGGCTTCGCTGGGGCTCCTGCTGGTCGAGGCATCGCTGGGGCTCCTGCTGGTCGAGGCATCGCTGGGGCTCCTGCTGGTCGAGGCATCGCTGGGGCTCCTGCTGGTCGAGGCATCGCTGGGGCTCCTGCTGGTCGAGGCATCGCTGGGGCTCCTGCTGGTCGAGGCATCGCTGGGGCTCCTGCTGGTCGAGGCATCGCTGGGGCTCCTGCTGGTCGAGGCATCGCTGGGGCTCCCGCTGGTCGAGGCATCGCTGGGGCTCCTGCTGGTCGAGGCATCGCTGGGGCTCCTGCTGGTCGAGGCATCGCTGGGGCTCCTGCTGGTCGAGGCATCGCTGGGGCTCCTGCTGGTCGAGGCATCGCTGGGGCTCCTGCTGGCCGAGGAACTTTGTACACACATACATTCATATGAATGTATTTGGGAGTTAGATATCTGCTACTGGCTGCATCCTGGGGATGTGTATGTGTGTGAAGTATACATAGTAGATAAATACATATAGTAGATATGACCAAGTAAAATGTGTCTGGAGTTGGTATATAAGACAACTAACGGTTAGAAAGGCGGGCTCCAAGAGCCAGCAACTCGACCCTGCACACAAACAGTAAATATAAACACACACATGAAATATAATAAGTATTACAGAAACAAAGGTTTCAGCAATAGGAAGTTGACAACTCTGGAATTAATGCTAATTCAACCTTGTTGTGATATTGTGATATCAGTATTACTACAGATACTGTGATAACAGTATGCTCCTGCAGACCGTTGCCACCAACAGGCAAGTTATCAGCCTGGCTGCGAGGAGCCGCGTCCAACAGCCTGGTTGACCAGACCATCAACCAGGAACCCTGGTCAGATACCGGGCCGCGGGGACGTTGATCCCCGAAATCAACCCAGGGTTCAGAACATGTGCACAGCTTTCCGTTGGCTGGTGTTCGGCGTTCATAGCACGCATCTCGACAGTATTTTTTTCTTAATGAAGAATGCGCAAAGAGAAGTTTGGGGTGATTGTTGTCTGGGACCCAAGGGAAGGTTTTCTGCACGCAGATGGGATGGCTATTTTTGTCCAAGTTACGGTGAGGGAAGGAAGAGGAGGGAAGGGAGGCGAGGTGGAAGGTATTGGGGTATTGAGTGTGAGGATGGAAGAGGTGGTTGAGGCGGCGGAATAGTGAAGCATCACGAGAAACTGGTATTGAATAGAATAGCGAAGGTGTTGAAAAGGTTAGATAAGGTAGGTAGTAAGTAGAAGGAATGAGTAATTGACGATGAGGCCAAGTGTTGATAAAGGGATCTAAGAAAGAAAGGAGAAACAGGAATCATGTGCCAGGATGATAGGACGGAAGAATGTTTTAAAGCGAATACAGATAGAAGACTAAGTGAACTGGATGAGAAACCAAGAATGAAAGAGAAAGTGGAACAAGAAGGGAGGAATACAGAGTGATAAATTAGATGATAAACGAAATAGGTGTTAGATAACGAGGAACGCTAAAGAGGAGCTTAAGAGGGGGAGGGAGGGAGAGTGAAAGAAGAGGAGAAAGATGCACCTTAAGACGAGGATGTTGCATATCTTTGTTTATATTCTAGTTTTATACATCTCTTTCATTTACATATTCCATACCTGCGCTGCATACTCAAAAGTGGGTCTCACATAAATTCATATGTAGGGGTCCGGAAGTCACCCTTTGTCAACATTTCTGAAGGCCTCCCAGAAGGAGAGGAGAGGAAGAGAGAGGAGACACTAGAAGAGAGTGATAGCACATACGGAGGTGGTTGACCAGGGGAAAGAGATTTAGAAGATAAAATAAATTGAAATATAAAAACACTAAAAGTGATAGGCCCAGCCAAATGGAGGAGGAGTAGGAGTGGAACTTTTCCGGACCAACCGGGCTGTGGTGGGTATGTGGGCCTGTGGGCAGCTCCAAGCAACAGCCTGGTGGACCAAACTCAAAAGTTCAGAAGAGACTGGACTGGTTGACCAGTCCAGCAACGAGGAGGCCTGGTCAACGACCGGACCGTAAACCCCGGAAACACTTCAAGGTAACTTCAAGGTAAGGCAAAGTGGCCTCGGGCCGGGCTTGCGGAGTCGAAGAACTCCCAGAACCCCATCAAGCAGGTATCAAGCAGTGGATTAAGATGAAATGAACACAACATAAACGGAGAAATTGGGGGAATTAACAATGAAATAAAGAAAAAATGAATTGAGGGTGGAAGTCTCTGAGTGAAGATAGACAAGTGTTGATAAATCAGATAGAGGAGGAGGAGGAGGGTGGTAAAAAAGGGGAAAGAGAGAACTTTGAAAGTTATTACTGACTGGTGGGAGCGGGAGAGAGAGAGCAGAGGCCACACCAAGTGTGAAAGAAGGCTTAGGTGGTTGTTGTTGTTATAGATTCAGCTACTGGGAGCAAAAACTTCCATGTAGCACGGGCTATGGTGAGCCCGTAGTGGACTTACCTGGCCGAGGAGCGGTGCTGTAACTGTCAAGCTTAGGTGAATGTACTCCGTAATGAGGGCAACTAGAGGAGGGAGGGAGGGCCAAGGAGGGTGAGGTGAAGAAGCTTGCAGAGGTGATGATCAGGGAGGGAGAATTGTCATTGGTGGGGAAGACAAGAAGGGAAGGATGAAAGCTGTGGGGAAGAGGTAGAGAGTAGGGGTAGAACACTCTACCCCTACTCTATATGATACCATATAGAGATACCATATTCTACTTAGAGAGTAGAATCCACTCTAGAGTGGAGTACTGCTGCACAATGACAGCCTCTTTCAAAGCTGGAGAAATTGCTGACCTGGAGAGCGTGCAGAGATCCTTTACTGCAAAAATCCACTCACTAAAACATCTAAACTATTGGGACCGACTAAAATGCCTAAATCTGTATTCCCTTGAGCGCAGGCGGAAGAGATAAATATTAATTTAAACGTGGAAAATAGTAGAGGGGCTGGTCCCAAACCTGCACACAGAAATAACACCACATGAGACCAGGAGGCATGGCAGGATGTGCAGAATAGCACATCCTCTGTTGAAGAGCAGAGGTGCAACAGGTACTCTGAAAGAGAACTCTATCAACATCAGAGGCCCGAGACTGTTCAACACGCTTCCACTACACATAAGGGGCATAACTGGCCGACCCCTCACAGTGTTCAAGAGAGAACTATCAACATCAGAGGCCCGAGACTGTTCAACACGCTCCCACTACACATAAGGGGCATAACTGGCCGACCCCTCACAGTGTTCAAGAGAGAACTATCAACATCAGAGGCCCGAGACTGTTCAACACGCTTCCACTACACATAAGGGACATAACTGGCCGACCCCTCACAGTGTTCAAGAGAAAACTCGATAAACACCTTCAAAGGATACCTGATCAACCAGGATGTGACTCAGACGTCGGACTGCGAGCAGCCGCGTCCAACAACCTGGTTGACCAGTCCAGCAACGAGGAGGCCCGGTCGAGGACCGGGCCGCGGGGACGTTGTGCCCTGGAAGCAACAAGTAGGTAGGGAGGAAGAAAGTGAGGGCGGAGAGGAAACAGAAGGTAGCCTAGGACAGGAATAAAGTGAGGGGAGGGGGGGGGGATGTAGAGACAGCCACACTGCCGGAGGAAACTTTCTAGGCGGTAACAAACTTCTTGCTTAAGGTTTTTTATATTCAACAGGTAATACGGTTTAGTTTGTCTCAAGTGGAAACGGATTAAAAGGACTAGTGGTGGTGGTGAGAAGTGGGTGGGATAGTGGTGGTTTGCAGGAGGGGATAGTGGTGGTGAGGAGAAGCGGGTGGAATAGTGGTGGTGAGAAGCGGGTGACTGTTTGGTCACCACTTGGTCCGGGAGACATCTCCCGTCACGCAGGGTGCAGTTGCGCCTCCACAGATCTCCAGTATCATCTTTTGATACTGGTAATGGCTCGAAAGGGCGACCACTTACGGGCTATTCATGCCCGTGCCACCTCTTGGGTGGCTTAATCTTCATCAATCAATCAATGGAAACGCACCATTTGGTCCGGGAGACATCTCCCGTCACGCTGGGCGCAGTCGCACCTCCACAGATCTCCAGTATCATCTATTGATACTGGTGATGGCTCAAAAGGGCCACCACTTACGGGCTATTTATGCCCGTGCCACCTTTTGGGTTGCTTCATCTTCATCTTAACGCATTCATAAGGGAGACATCTCCCGTCATGCAGGGTGCATTCGCACCTCCACAGATCTCCAGTATCAGCTCTTGATACTGGTAATGGCTCAAAAGGGCCACCACTTACAAGCTATTCATGCCCGTGCCACCTCTTGGGTGGCTTAATCTTCATCATCATCATCAATGGAAAATTACGGGCTATTCATGCCCGTGCCACCTTTTGGGTGGTTTAATTTTTATCAATCAATCCGTGGAAATAAACATTCCATTGGCCTGGACAGTATAGAGCCCAGGTGAATGGTAGAGCGTCGTCCTCACACACGTGGGGTCCAGGGTTCGAGACCCATACAGCCCAGGTTGTTGTTGTTACAGATTCAGCTACTCGGAACAAGTTCCAAGTGGCACGGGCTATGGTGAGCCCGTAACTTACCTGGCACAGGAGCGGGGCGCGCACACAGCCCAGGTGAATGGCAGGGTGTATAGTGTGGCCCAGAGAGAGAGACAGACAGACACAGCACCGCTCCTGTGCCAAGTAAGTCTACTACGGGCTCACCATAGCCCGTGCTATTGGAACTTGTTCCGAGTAGCAACAACAACAACAACAGAGACACAGACAGACAGTTGAGGTTAAGGCTGCCCGTCAGGGAGCGGCACCAAGACACAAGCCTAACATTACCAAAGGTTACACCAATATGTGTGTTGTGTGGGGCTCATCACACTCTTCCCTCCTACAATCACACAATTGTGAAATACATTACTATTATGGGAGGGAGGGAGGGAGCCGGTCGGCCGAGCGGACAGCACGCTGGACTTGTGATCCTGTGGTCCTGGGTTCGATCCCAGGCGCCGGCGAGAAACAATGGGCAGAGTTTCTTTCACCCTATGCTCCTGTTACCTAGCAGTAAAATAGGTACCTGGGTGACAGTCAGCTGTCACGGGCTGCTTCCTGGGGGTGGAGGCCTGGTCGAGGACCGGGCCGCGGGGACACTAAGAAGCCCCGAAATCATCTCAAGATAACCTCTCAAGATATGTATTTTACTTCTATGAAAACAACGTTATTTACTGCACCAGTAGCACTGGTAACTGTTGCAGAAGCAACAACAACAACAACAATTAGAGCAACAGCAGCAATAATTAAAGCATCAGCAGCAACAGAAGCAGCAACGAATTTAACTATAAAATCGTTTGCCTGTTAATGGCCAACCCAAAACCCGTCATTTATCGCTAACTGTTCGCCACTACTGACGGACGTTATATTTTAATTGTTTATAATATAATT